TAACCACGGATATGACGATGAGGGCGCCAATAATGATGACGACGATAACCGGCCATCTGTTGTCTGTGAGCAAAGGGGAAGCAGCCTGAGGCCTGGCGATCCAACGCACTTGCAGTAGGCCTTGGCCATGCAGTTGTCCCATGAACTGAGCGTGTTCTTGGCCTCATCCAGCGGATTCTGGCGCGCAAACAGCGAGTGGACGAGTAGCGACGGCATGGCGATATCGGGTGTCCAAAGAGGCGACGCGTTGGGTGTGTCTTCCGTCCAGCGGGTTTAAGGGAGTCGTTCGCGGTGCAGAGGCCGGCCGGGGTATATGGCTATGGATGGGGATATAACGATCGACGGGACAGGACGTGCCTCATGTCGCTACAGGACTTCACGGCATCAAGGAGGAAGTACAAGGCGAGGCGTGAGTGTCCGGGTCATGTGGTGGTGCATCGCTTGCTTTGACGTCCCCTGGAATGACGCTGGGTGCCAAAGGCGAAACGGCCGTGAAGCTTGGAAGGGGCGGGACATGGCCAAGCACCCATGCCGACGCGGTCGCCGTGGCTGAGTTAGCCGCTAATCCGCGTTTCGCACCAACATGCCCTCTTTCCCCGCAAAGCCTATCGTGGCGCTATCGTATTTAGACCCGAGTGCAAGATTGTGTCGTCGCTTTTCGATCGCGCGCAGTAGCTTTACCATGGTTGGCAACGGTATGGCGCGGAGTGGAGTTGACAGCGGGGAGGGAGTACGCAATGCTGGTGACGCCTCGCGGCATGCCATCAACAAGAGAGCGCCGAACGTCAACAAACCCGACATCCTCGCATGCCATTCCGGTTGCATGGCACGATCGTCTTCTCCAAAGCTTGTAGTGTACCACGCGTTCAACAGGTACCATCCGGCAAGAACGGCAGAGGGCGTGGACTTCTATCCGATATCCGACATTGACATGTGTAGAGCACGTCGTCTCCTTAACTGTCATGTCGTTCCATCTATTCCACATCAATAATGCCCTTTACTCACAAACCCCGATATTGGATTGCGGTCTGGTGTTTCGTGAGTTTGTTGAGTGGGTGGTATGATATCCTCTACGTCTGCCTGCGCCCTCACAGCTTGCCCAGTGGCAGATGGCATGCGCCTTTCTTCAAGCCCATGGAACAATGGGCTGCTTTTGATAACCTATACGGGGCGCAAGCATGTATACAAGGCGACACTGTCTTATTGACCAAGACCAGCATCAGCTGCTTCGAGGTGAGCCTTCACCTAGCCTACTTGTGCCAACTTGCTCGGCCGGGCGCACTGCGTTCGACATTGGAAGGCAGGCGCGTCGCCGGTCGGTTCGCTCCACAGATAGCTCTATGTGGTCTCCTCGCTTTTGTCATTCAGGCGACAAAGCAGATGTTCTACAGTAGGTTCAGTATCACTCGGTAGGTGTTGTGCGAAGACATACTGAGCGTCAATACAGTTGGAGCGCAGTTCAATTCCAAGGCCTTCAAAGAACATACCTCTTCCAGTCTCATTTGGCTTGTGGTTAGGTACGCCGGCGGCGCATCGTATAACATGGAGCTCACGTTAAAGTCCAACCCAGTTACGCGTCCCTTACCATCTCTGCGTGTGCAGCAACATCCTTCTTGAAAGAAATACACGCTAGCTTGTTGGACGGACACGTGACCCAACCACCTCCAGCATCTACCACGGAGAAGCCGCCGACACAGGATCCATGATAGGCATGCAAGATATCTTGTTTACCCACCGACCTCTCCACAGTAGTCTTGGATGGTGCTGGCCGCGTCCACAGAACCAAAGTTCCCAGGTGCCAAGGGCTGCCCCTCCCCCACCACCCAGCGGCAGCTTCCCCTTCCAGCCAGCTTCCAGCCGCGGGCCTGCCACACTCATCTACGTCACCGATCACGCACTACCCGCTTGCTACAACGCCTAGCCCTACATAACCAGCCATGTCTTCAACCCCCTCTATTGCCGAACTGCAAGCCTATTCTGAAGAAGTACAAGCCCTTTACAACAAACTTCCCAACCTCCGCGACCTGCCCGACAACAAAGTCAACGAGACAACCGCACTCGAACAAGACGTCAAGAACCTCGACGTGAAAGAACAGTCCCTTGAAGACAAAGTAGACGCCTACGTTAAAGGGTTCCTCTACATTGGCGGCCCGAAACCTCGACGACAGAAGCAACAAGTTACCACATCGACCTAAACAAACATGCCGGACCACCCAATTGAGCAAGGCGCCGCTGGCAGTAAGTTAGACCTCCTCTTCCCACTCACCACACCACCCAGCCTGCTTAAGCCATGACTGACGCTTCGTCTCCACAGGCCTCACCGACAAGATCGCAAAGGAGTCCTCCGACTCGACCGCATCCTCGCACGACAACCACGCCGAGGGCGGAAACCTACTCGCTTCAGCTCACAATTCCAAGGTATGCTATTCGCGTGCCGTTGTTATACACATGGATCGGAACGGAAGCTAATACATTTATAGGGCCCAGCCATTCCGGACAACATGCCCAAGGCGGAGAGCAAGGAGGACCTCAAGAAGAGGGCTGAGGAGTTGAACAAATAGAGTGGTTGAGGAACACACGTGTGCGGTGGATATATGCATCATGTTCTAGGAAACAGTGAAGAGCAGCTTATAGCATGCGGAATATACCTTCAATTTCAGCACACGCTCTTGTCGCTCTGGTGTTGCATCTGCTTTCGACTTTTCCCTCGTAGTTCTTATTCGTACGCCTACGCATGCTGATAGACTCATGTCAAGGAATAGCCCTTGTGGTACAAGTCGTGGCAACTGTGCGTAGAGATGCTGCTTACCCCTAGGTCAGGTGCGATTGATGTGGAATTTGGTCCTGGTGCGAACATACTACTTCAGATAACGAAAACTTCTAACAATGACTTTGGTTCGCTTGGGGAGGGGTGACGATGGCAGAGACAGCTGCTCGTGAATTGGAATTGGCATGTCTGACATCATTTTGCGAGAATGGAAGTTGAGTTGTTTGGAGGGGCGGAAGCCTGCGTACAGGGAGTCGCACCTTATCTTCCGGGAATGTTCAGCGCTGTCTTCGATACTGCGATCTGTGCCGGCTGCAGTTTGGCAGTTCCTCCCGAGGTCGAGTCATGCCGAACCACGTGCTTGCCAATATGTGAGAGTGCCTATGACGTCACCACGTCTGGCTAATGTGATGAATTCGAAGACCGGACGACTCCGATCGTTTGCCCAAATATGGTATCTTTGTCTCAATCCATCTATTCTGGATTGCACCGTTCTTGTTCGCAGCCTTGCACCGTCAATGGCGGCCAATCTCTCGAATACAGTCGGGAGTGGGTCCCGAGGGCGCGGCTGAGATGCGCAGCCATACTCAGCCTGGTGCGCAGCATCTAGGCAGCTTTACAAGCTGCGTGCTGACATGGCAACCTCCTTTTGTCTTTTCATTTTTCACGTCCTCACTCACATTAGACGCCATTCTATATCTTCCTAATCCTCCAACTGTACGACTCCGAATTGAGCCACATCGCGATCCCAACCACACCCCTGTTCACATTACTGTAATGTTGATCTCTTGATCACGCTTTAGTCCTACAGCAACCTTGTCGTACGGCCTGAGCTCTGGCTTGAAACCTTTTGTTCTGTAGCTTGGGGCAACGGCTATGTCTAAAGCTCTGGCTAAAGCTGGGTCGCTCAGTCCCGAAATTCGCCTCGCACAAGCTGTCTCCGAATTCGAAGCCGACCTGTCAAGCGAACAGAAGTCCGCATTTCGCACTCTGAAGTCGCAGACACTTTTGGCGACACCCACACCAAGCGATGTCATGCGACTGACTGCCGAGGTTGACCGCCGCATGTCAAACAAGTTTAGCAGTCGATGCTTCGGTCCGCGCTTTACCAACTTCCTTCAAGCTGTTCAGCAATTTGCTGCGCTTGGGGACGTCGTGGTTGGAGGCTCACAGAACCTGATCGCGTGTGGCGTGTGGTCATTGGTACGCATGTCGATATTAGTGAGTAATTGTTGTTGTGTCCATGTTCACGTCAGTTACTGATGGTACACAGTCGTTTGTGAGCGTGTCAAACCACGTAGAGAAGCTATCGTCGATATTCATGGACCTTGGTCGCTCTTGTCCACGCCATCAGGAAATTGCTGTGCTCTATCCACTCTCTAAGAAGCTACAGGTCTACATCCTCGAATATTTCATCGTGGTCGTTGCTCTGTGTCATTACTTGCTCAGGTTCGGCCAAAAGTCCGCTCTCCAGCAGTTCACATCATCGTTGAGTGGAGGGGAGCTGAAAACGTTCCAGTATGACCTCGAGAAGTGGGCACACTCGATCGAAAAAGAGATGCAAGTCAGTGAGTTTCAACAAAGCTCTGGGTTTCGAGCATTATCCCGATCAATGTTCGACTCCGCATTGTACCAGCAAAAACTTGCGGCGAAGGAGCAGGTGCTCGATCTCTGTTCTACGTACGACTACGAAACAGTCTGGAAGCAGACAAGGAAGGTCGGGAATACATCGCTCTTTACACGTTTCGACAAATATCGAGAGTGGAAGGATAGCTTACAAACTTGCACAATAGTATTCACTGGCAAGTTGGGATCGGGAAAGTCCGTGTTGCTAGCCAACATCGTGGACGATCTCAGCCTCTCTACCGAAAGAGATCGACCCTTGGTAGCCTACTTCTTCTGCAGACACGATCTACCCGAGAGTCTGCAAGCACGCACCATTCTTGGCTCACTAGTACGACAAATGCTGCGGAGTATTGCTGACTTCGACAAACTTTCAGATGTATGCCAAGATAGACATACCACTGAAGACGTTGACAAGATACTAGAGATAGTTCTCCAGGCTTATCCCCCTACCTATAAAACATTTCTCGTAGTAGATGGACTGGACGAGTGCAGCGAAGGAGAAATAGCGACGCTGGTACAAGCGGTGAGGGCCATCCAAGCAAAGCTAAAGGTCTTCATTTGTGCGTCTTTCCGGGTAGAGCCAAACAAGGGTTAGTGAAATCCCTGTATGAATTGTATGCGAGGAGAATACTGACCTGGTAAACGCAATTTTAGGTCTACAGTCGATGACACGTCGCCTCCTGGATGCCCGCATAGTTCAGTTACCCGAAAGCAACCCAGACATCGAGACCTTCATCGAAGCAGAGCTCTATCGTTGTCTGGACGAAGATCTTCTAAACATCAGAAATTCTACACTGATATTGGACATCCAAGAGTCGCTCCTTCAGCGCTCCCAAGGCATGTTCCTTTGGGCGGCTCTTCAGATCCAGTCTTTGTGTAGTATGAAGACTGATCATGCCATTCGCGAAGCCCTGGCAGACCTGCCCAAAGACCTTGCGCAAACCTTTTCCCGCATCTTACACAAATCAGGAGCCTCGGATCCGTCGCTCCAAGCAAAGATACTGGAGGTCGTATTGGCAGCTTGCCGACCTCTGACGACTGAGGAGTTGAGAGAAGCCTTAAGCGTCGATCCCGGACATGCAGTATGGGATCCGTCTAAGATGTTGAACGATGTGCAGTCAGCCCTAGCCTGCTGCGGATGTCTTCTTACTGTCGATGAGGAAGAGTCGACTGTCCGAGTCATACATCACAGCGTCAAGCAATACATTCTTCATGGTCTTGACGACGTGAAGTACATGGGTTTCTCTGTTGGAAGAGCACACGGAACGTTGGCGGATATCATTGTTACCTATCTTGGGTACGGTGTTTTCGAAACCCAACTTGAGAGAAACCATGCCCATCCGATCTTAGCACAAGCAGTGCCGTCTACGGTCATGCGAAACACCGTGGGCGGCTCGAGCTCCGCTCGGCAACTTGCTATGAAGCTTCTCAAGTCCAAGAAGCAATCCGCATTTGACTTGAGCAAGACGGTTGCTGAAGCTCGTGGTCATTCGTACTCTGAGCCCCAGGACGGATTCAAGTTCTTTGGTTATGCGAATACCAATTGGCAGAATCATATTCCATACGTTACAAGTCGAGCTGATGCTATCTGCGAACTTGCAACTACACTGATTCGGAGTCGATATCCAGAGCTGGAAACGACGAATGCAGATTCTGATTTGTATTGGAGCTTCGCTGCCACCACGCATCAAGATACAAGAATTCTCGAATTGCTGATGCTGCAATCTCAGAAGATGAAGCTGTGTGCACAAAAGACATTGGTGTTGCTAGTGAGAACCGGAGACAAGGACACTATCAAAGTACTACTGAACGCTGGCGTTGATGCAAATAGCAATCGTGACGGAGCACCTCCGATAATCGTTCTGGCAGCGAGCAATGGAGACAGTATCATGATTAAGTTCCTACTCAGCTTCAGTACGGTTGACGTCAATGCCGGCGACTGGTTCGGGGATACCGCAGTGAAAAAGGCCGTAGAGGTGGAAAACGAACACATCATCAAGCTACTTCTCAGCTCTGACAGGATAGATGTCAACGTGAAGAACAATATCGGGAACACTGTATTACTGCAGGCCATAGACACTGGAAATGCGGGCATTATTAAGCTATTGATCAACGACGATAAGATTGACGTCAACGCGCAAAGCAATTCTGGGAGTACAGCACTACTCAAAGCTGTGAAATATGGAGATGAGAAGATCGTCAGACTGCTACTGGGTATCCGCAACATTGACGTCAATGCGAGAGACATAGACGGGAAGACTGCATTAATGCACGCGACGTGTAAGAGGAACAAGGACATGATGAAGCTGCTGCTTGGAAGCAAGAGCGTCGATGTTAATATCAAGGATGATACTGGAAGAACGGCGTTACTAGATGCAGCAAGTAAAGGATACAGCGACGTAGTCAAGCTGATGCTGACAAGCAAAAACATCGAAGTCAACACAGCGGACAATACAGGGTGGACGCCACTGATGTATGCAGCATTCCACGGAAAGATAGAAGTGGTCCGGCTGCTTCTTACTAGTCGCAAGATAGACGTCAATGTGAAGGGGCAATATCACGTTACGGCGTTGACTTTAGCGGTAAGCAAGAGTCATCAAGATGTTGTTGAGCTGCTGGTACTTTCACGCCACTAGGGTTAGCTACAATTCATATCGCACGTTGCTGAATACATATTACCAAATCCTGATAACCTGTCAGTCTCCAAGTCAACGTAGACGTCTAGCTTAACCGTATAGTGAATACTACCTAGGTATGTTTGTAGAATGCTTGCGACACGAATGGTAGCTACCTCTATCGGCAGCAAAAGTCAACAGCAGCGGCTTAAGCAGCTTGCAACAAGCAGACGTTTCTACGGTTATCAAAGACTCTTTAACATTCATGGTCACCACATATGCGAACTCAGCGCGTCTTTAGATACCACTACTCTAGATACATCAACCCGCTCGCAAACATTTGTGCTCTGTATCCACGGGCAGCTGCATATCATTCTCTTAGTGTCTCTCAATGTATTGATCACGCCTTGACCATGGATCGCAACACTGAAAGTCAGCATAATACCTTCTAAACTACCTAACGGCTAGAAGCTAGGACTAGCGACCCTGAAGCCTCCTGTTCGTCGACCCTATATACCGTCGCAGGTGCAAGCTAGACTGTCGACATTTCAACCAAGGCCAGAACATTCGCTAACTCCAAAGACAGCACGTTGTAGGCAATCTCTGATCACGTGGCCTGATCATGTTGGGAACTTTGCAAATTAAACCATTGTTCAGATACCGTATTTGGTCACTGGCGGTAAAGGGTTGACGTTGGCGATGTTGCGTGTTAATTAAGGACCCTGCGCCGCTACCGGGCGAAGACGATCAGAAAGTCCGTCGCATCGCAAGGTCTCGTTCACTGTTAGAAGCAAAGGTCAACAACGCGTAAATTATATCACGTAGCTTCTTTCCAGGACACATGGTACCAAAGAGACCTTACATAGGCTAAGCAAGCAAGCAAGGTAAGTAAAAGGTATGTGATATGTTGCTGCATACATACTATTAAATGTTAAGAAGGGAGCAGTTCCTAAGGTAATGTAGGCGTCTAGCTATGTAGTTTGCTTAATGATTTTTTTTACCAATGCGACACAAAGTGTAGCTGCCCCTAGTAAGACTTACTATGTGATCGAGATTGTACGAGATATATGAAGGTGACCTGCGATGTGAGGTTCTAATTGAACTTGAGTAATGTAGAGTATATCTTCGAGTCGGGTCTTCGCTCTCTTATTACCAACTAAGCTCGGTTTGACTGGCTATCGGCGAGCTGACCAGTTGCTCGCCAGTGGCTTCAACTGTCTGCAGATTGGGAATCCTGAAGAGTATCAGATCCTGGGCCGTTGGCTTTCCGATTTTGATGCTCGAAAGCATCTTTCGAATTTTCAAATCCATCTTTCGGTACATCTTCATTTCATGCCTGAGGTCGTGCCTGTGATCGCGACCCAGAGGTATAATCTTCAGTGGGAGCCCCGGTCGGCCGCTTAGCGCTAGTCGTGTGATGTCCTTCACAAGATCCCATTCGTACACCATGTAACCCACGAAGTCGCCATCATCATCGTCGTCGGGAAACAACATACGTATGCTGATTTCGCAGGTCCTTTTGCGTTCCATTCTTCTCAAAGTGTGCCCTACGAATGGATGCAGTTCCTCGGCTGTGCACTCTCTTTGATTGTGGACATTACTATCATCGCCCAGGCTAGGGTTCTGAGGCAGTAGCGGCAGGATGATTTCGTTGTACCAGGACGCGAGGACGAGACTGATGAGTTTGGTTCCGTTGTCGTCCCCCGGTTTCTGGGATTGGGCTGACAATGTACAGCGTTGTCTCCTAGCCTCGTGGAATATGTCTGATATTAAGGTGAACATAGCCTCCCTTGCGGTAGACCTAGGTACTGGGCCGATTGTAACTTTAGGGGACTTCTGCATATTCCTCGTCTTCAAGTGTTGTTGAGCCTCCTCGAGAATCGTCTTGTTCACTTGAAGTAGGGCGGTCGGCATCCGAAGTTCTGCCCAGGTGCAGATACCTGGCGTGGGGAATGCATGTTTGAAAACACGCACGGGGAAGTAATCGTAGATGTAACAGCGCAGTTCGGTTGGTAAGGCCATCAACAGAGACTTATCTGTATTTTGCATGGTGGATGCGGCCATTTGTGGGCTTAGAGGGTAGATTCGTCCTTCGGGCGGCGTTGTTTCTTACGTGCAGTATCGTAGGTGTTGAAGGCGGCGGTGAGGACGGAGATGAAGACGAGGACGCTGTTTTATACTCATTGGAATTTCGCTGTTGCATTCATGTGGCTGACCCATTGGAAATGCTCGATACCACAGTTATCGGTTTGTTGCTATGATCCGTGGTTGGCCTATGTTGTTCGCGGGCGAAGCAGCACCAAACCATGGAATAGGATTACCATTGACTTGACTGCGATCACGCAGAGCGGAACGAGCCACTTACATATTGCGCAACGCCAATAAGCTATGAGACTAGACACTCTCAGAGATGAGCAATCGCAGATACCCAGGTGTAATGTTCTCGGAGTAGATGGTTTCCAAGCTATGCTGTGGGTGCCGAATAGTTCTGCAAACTGGCGAGGCTGCCATGCCGCCAGTGTTGAGAAATTCTGGGACCATCATACATGGTAGAAGGGCTTACAATGAAAGGTGACGTTGCGGCGGCTTGTTCGAAGACAAGGTGCCCAGGTGAACTTTCGAGGTGGGCTTATGATGGTGTGATTTGTGATTCCGAAGTTCCGAACCTTCGGGAGATTGGCAGCCAATCAACACGTGCTTTATAATCGTGTCAAATTGCCCCGGAAATCGCCGCGGATGACATAGGCTTCGGCGAATTTAGTGACAATGCACCAGCCGTACCTTGCCATCTATTCACTCAACACGCGCGCCTTACCAAGTCCACTCGCAGCACTCCTTGGACCTCTCGCCCTTTGATCATGTCGCTGCCTCGCACCACAACTGCCTTTGCGCGCTCCAGCTCGACATTCCTACGATTCGCCGCCCCCTCGGCTACTCCCCGCAGATGCCCGCAATGCGCGCGCACTTTCGCCTCGTCGATACCGTATCGGCAGTCAGCTAAGCGCCAGATGCAGACGGCGACTGCATACCATCCTTCGTCGCTATACCCTCAGCCGCCACCAAGGAATGCTGGCGTACCCGACACATCGATAGCTGGTGGAGCAGCCGAGGCAAACAATGCGAAGACCCCACAACTACCGCCGCAAGAACACATCCCCGCGACACCTTCCGAGCAACCGAACGTGAGCATACCCGAAGGCGAAGCACAGAAGCCACAGCAGGCAGCGGGTGCCAGCAAGCCGTTGCGGCCGCGTCGCTACAACTTCGGGCCACGGAAGGCCACCATTAAGCTTTCACAGTCGGCAGTATCGCACCTGCGTGAACTCCTTGAGCTACCGGAGCCCAAGCTTATCCGGATCGGCACAAAGGCAAAGGGTTGCTCGGGGCTGGCATATCACTTAGAGTACGTGGACAAGCCAAGCCCGCTGGATGAGCAGGTCGAACAGGATGGCGTCAAAGTCCTGATCGACAACAAGGCGCTGTTGAACATTATTGGAAGCGAGATGGACTGGCTTGAAGACAAGCTGAACGAGCGCTTCATCTTCAAGAACCCCAACATCAGTAAGTATCGATACAATGTACTACGAGAGACCAAGACTAACATCTTGCAGCGGAGCAGTGCGGTTGCGGCGAGTCCTTCAGCGTATCATGATACCCTTACGATTCAATCACTATACCTTATAGAAGCATTACCGGCGTTGCATCTTCGGCGTTACCCCTACATAAGACATAATTCGAATATCATTACCACCACCGGTAGCACGATTGCTACTTGGTCTCTATGCCTACATGCGATGCAGACTCGCAATACCTCCATTGCAAGATCAGCAACAGTAGTTTCCCGGAAACTGTAAGACTTGCACGAGTCGACAGCATTCCTTCGGGATATTGGGTGCCAGTAGCATCCATCATTCGTTATTGACACCATGTCTACATCTTTCCTGGCTCATAGTCAAAGACTTTCACGCCATTTGCCACCTCTCCAGCAAGCTTTACAAACTCCTGATGGGCAGGGTCTTTGTATACATAGTAGTCGCGGTCCTCTTCATTTTCAAACTCAACTACGAAACCGTGGGTTGAGTTACCCTATCCATGTCAGCATGTGTAAGGTAGCTTGGCGCATTGCCTACGCTGTGGCCTTCAGGGCTGTTGTTCTTGCCCCCTGAGAAAGACTTGATGTATGGCTTCTGGGAAGTTGGGTGAATGCACTGGTCTTTTAGGCCGAGCATACGACTGCAAGCCTATGATGTATTAGTATAAATGATGTATGTTTAGATGGCTATGAAGGTACTTCTGAGATCTGCTCTGTTGAAGCTGTGGACTTCCACTCGAATAGTACGATGTGAATGATCGTCATCTTAACAGCGACTCAATACGAATAATCGATTAGGATGCGCGAAGTGGTGATGTAGGGAATGGCTAAAGAGGGGCAGTTGACATGGCGGGTTGCACTTCGGATATAATGACCTCAGCGCTGCTAAGCTCCGGGCAAGCTGCCGCGTCACATGGTCGATAGTGCGAACATCGCGAACCGCAGGATCACCACCAGACATCCACAGCATTCCGAATAATGAAGCTACGACCGTTATGACCCCATACAGATACGATATTCCCAATCAATAGCTCACAATCACCTCAACCCCCAAGTAGCCGCCGCTGCCTCCTACATCCCACGCTATGTCGAATGCGCCAGCTCTCCCCGAGCAACTCATCTACCTCATCATCCGCTTCACAGCCTCAGTACCGGACCTTCCACTCTCAATAAACACCCCACGAACAATCGCGACCCTCTCCCTCAAACAGCTCATCCGCCAACACCTCCCATCCGAACATGCCTCTGCGCGCCTACGCCTCATCTACGCGGGCAAAGTCCTCGCAGACACGGAGCCATTATCGAAGTCCTTGAAATTACCACCACCACCGCCTCCACGGAATACCAAAAATAGCGATGCAGTGGGAAGCAGTAGCGGCGAAGCCAGCAAGAGCAAAGGCAAACAACCCCTACGAGAAACACCCGCGATTGAATACGGCACAACAACAGACATACCCCCCTCAGCAAAGAAATACTACATCCACTGTTCCCTCGGCGACGCGCTCTCCGCCCCCGAACTCGCCAGCGAAGCCACACTCGCCCAGAACACAGAGATAGCGTTGAAGTCGCATTATACATCTTCCTATTCTTCCCCCGGACGGCGCGCAAGCAGTACGACTATAGACCACAATGCGCGGAGACGTAGCTCGACGGCTACAACGAATACGGCGAATACAGTGCCGCAAGCTCAGGGGTTTGATAGGTTGCTAAGCTCGGGGTTTACGAGGGATGAAATCGCTTCTCTGAGGGCGACGTTTACGCAGAATCTCTCGTTTACACATACGCCTGATACGATGCCCACGCCCGCGCAGATTCGCGTCTTGGAAGACAGGTGGCTGGACTCTTCGGCCAACGATCCTTCTGCGTCGCTGACAAGTGGCGCTGGGGCGACAGGTGGTGCTGGCACGGATGCCGGGTGGGGCGCGGGGTTTGCGGTGGAAGAAGGCGGGTTGGACGATATGCTGTATGGGTATCTGACTGGCTTCTTCTTTCCGCTAGGTAGTCTGGTGTGGGGGTTTAGGGAGGAGGGGGTTTGGACGAGGAGGAGGCAGGTTGCTGTTGTTATGGGGGTTGTGCTGAATGCTGTTTTTGGGTTTATGCGGTGGGGTGGGTAAGTATGATAGGAGGAGGGGAGATGAGGGGGGTTGGTACGAGAGAATGATGAGGATGGTCTATTGATGCCGGTGCGTTGTATACCCTGGAAAGTATCTATACGTCAACGTCTTCGTCGCGATCATGAGTCTTGTCATGTACGTAACATGTTGAAGACAAAGATACTTCTTCCCCCTTCCTCATGTCTACCCTTGCTCTGCCATTGCAATATATCTCAAGCCATTCCCACACCCAACCAAACAAGCGTTCTCGTGCTACCGACGAATATCTCACTTCTACCCCGTCAGTCAACCTGAGAGATCGCGCGACATGACAAGCAGCCACATACCTGAGCCTGCTCAGCAGTAGGCACACCACCAAACTGCATGGGAACGGAGCGAGAATTCGAAGCCCAAATAGGAGCATACATGTTCTTGATATGCGCGCCGCCGCTGCCAATGTTCAGCGGCGCTACAATCTCGCCCGTCATGCCTGTGAAGCGTGAGTTCTTGCGACCTTGCGACCACTTCGCATATGTGTGTCGGACTTACCAAGTGAGTAGAATCCTTCTTGACCTGTGTTTGCTTGTCGCGCGTTCCTAAGCGCCTTCTCAATGACATTGGCTTCTTGACGTTGAGCCAGTCGCATGTGCTTGAATACGGAGATGATGAGGTCGTTGATGGCGGGGATGTAGAAGGATGTGATGGAGTAGAAGATGATCATAATGACCATCAGGGCGAGGAAGACCATGAAGGCGAGTTGCGGGAACATTGCTGTGTCCATTTTGGGAATTGCGTTTGTGGGGTGGGGTGCGAGAGGGAGTGGTGTGTAGAGTTGGTGGTTTGAGAATGGCGTAGGTGAGAGAGAAGTGCTTGAGCTTTGGTGTCGCAACGAGTGAGGGAAATGTTTGATATCCCGAAATGTGGTCGCGACATCTTTGACTGTATGAAGGTTATCAAACTCACCATTATTACTTGGACATTTTGTCTGGGAACAACGAGACAAACATATCTTGATGTTGTCTTCCTTCATTGGCTTAATGAGCACCACATACCAAAAGATTGTAAAACCTACCTCAGAAGCATACATTACCGTCACACTGGCAGAATGTTAGTTCTCGAATCAACGTATACAGCAGCGCAATCTTTTAGCTTTTTCTTTGAATGCGGCGACACCTAGAACGACATCGACATCGCCAGCAATGATATCCATATCGAGATTAGCAGATTCGCATTGTCGAGTTTGTTCAACGCATGCACGCCGTCGTAGGGAATAATCGAACGCGACACACGCTGATTTGGTTAGTAACCGTTCGATTTTTCCCTACGACGGCGTGCATGAGAGAGTCAGATGTTCAGCTGTAGTGCTGAAGTGGTCTTAGTTTAGGAAAGTTCCTGTAGCGTGCCAACAGCGTTTCAACGGCGTCATGCAAGCGCATGCACTATGCATGTGTGGCGCAGACGCTATTGTTTCCACCATCTGCGTTGTCGACGTCCTGCAATGCAAATGCAACAGGGCAACCATGGTGACAAAGGGTGAAATGGGGAGCCGATGGTGCAGTAGGTCGTGGTAGGCAAGTAAAGCGTCTTTGGTTAATGTTGATGGGGGCAACCTGTTGTTACCTTGAGTAACAACTTAGCATATCAACAAAGTCGTAATGAAAACAATCACCATGGCAAGTCGGTTGAGTGGGTATTATAGTAAGTCTGATTGAAAGCTGGGGGTATCTATGCGACAGGTCCGTGATCCATCAAGAATGATTTCCTCTCCACGACCCTTTGGCATCCATCTCTCTCAGACTGTACAAAACAAAAGGAAAAAGTGTTCGCTCAAACTCCATGCTTGCTGTTTCGTTCATTACCGCATCCATCTTCCTTGCTCGATACCGGGGGTATAGTATAGGGTATAAACACCCACACTCGCTCCTCCGCAAAGAGACAATCGCGCTCCGTCCGTTACTTTGCGAAGACTACGCGGCGATGTGTTGTGAACGTATCGTATCGTCATGTGGTCCTGGCAATGAAGAAGTAACAGCCGTCGAGCGATCGTCGTTCGTCGTCGTAGTAGTAGTTGGGTAGTAGATATAGCGCCTTAGTAGTACCCGTATCTCCTCATGCGCCATCCTTCACAAGGGGAAGTAATGATCAGTACGGCGACATGTGGGAAACGGGTTCACACTAGACTCTACTAGTATGCGTTGTCCTCTTTCGGCCGCCGCCGCGTCCGCAGGTGAGGCAGCTGATGATGATGCCGAAGAGGGAGACGATGGCGTTGATGATTGCCTTAAGACCAGCAGCGATGGCGTTGACAATGGCCATGATGCAGTTTCCGATGGTGCGGAACTAGACAGAATGTTAGGAACGGACGCTATGAGCAGGTGAGTGAGGGATACGTACGACCGACTTGATGCAAGAGACGACGGCACCCATGATAGCGGTGTTGTTCTGGTGAAGGTATCGGTGGTGTAGTGGATGGAGGACTCGAGGTAGAGAGGCGACTGTTCGTAGGTTCGTTGGTAGATGGTATGGTTTGGGGAGAGTGTGGTATCACAACAAAGGGCTTTGAGCCCTCTCACTTATAAGCAGCCGCGAGCCAGGCGCCGGAACAACGACCGCCCTTGCACAACGGCTACGTCACGCGGCGTCCGTGCCCCCTTGTCCTCCAGATCCTTCACCTCAATCTTTGGCCTGCGTAACGAAATTTCCCGACTCAAACTCCATTCCTGCAGGTGACTGTGCTGCGTCTGCAAACAGCCAAGCTCGCAACGTCAGCGGGAAAAGTCAGGTTTGCGCCAACCAAGCCGCCCGATGCGGTAGGGATGGGCGACGGACGCGCTCAAAGCAGTCGCGCAAAACAGGGTTGGCCCTGCGACGTCGACGTCGGGTGTGGGTCGCGCGCCACAACCTTAAAGAGCGCCGACGTCACTGCCCGTCCCTGATGCAGTAGCGATCGCAGCCTGCGCGTGGCTGGGCCCATGGGCAACGCAATGCCCGCCTCTCACGATCGCGATGCCTTTGCCATGGCAGCGCCTGAAGCAGGTAGACCGACTTTTGATAAGCCCATGCTGCTGATTTGGTGCGCCCACACTACCACTGCTCGACGTTGTGCGACGCCAGACCACCGTTATCGTGCCAACCACGCCTGCCCGCCCACCTCCTTCTCCTCATCTGTAGCCATCATCCACCCATATTTGATCACCCCAGATGCTCTTATCCGGCATGGCTCCACCGTTGCAACATTCCCAGAACTGTCGTGCAGCCTGCATCGTCCGTGTCCGTAACTGTGACGTAGCCATCTGTGGCGGCCCATCTAATTCTCTTCCGCATCCTTGCACAGAACAGCGGCTCCAAATCTCCACCTCTCTCCAGCCGCTCTCTCGCCTCGTTGATGAGGTGACGCCACAGCTCAAACACGCGTGCGTGGGTCATCCACCCATATTGACATCAGTCCGGCAGGCAATCTCAGCAAGCAGGGCAACGGCACGCGGGTTATCGTCTCAACGTCTCACCACCTTTTCGCAAACCCATGTTATCATCCGTACCGCGGGAGCTAGGCTTTCCAAGCAACTGCAAGTAAAAATCGTGGTCTAGACTGCCCGGTCGCATGCTCATATCGCTTGGAGGCCATGGCATCTTTCCAAGGCATCTGCTGGAAATAGCACGGCTAACCTGGCACATCGGAATTAACACCAAAACACGATCTTGGATCGGACCCTCGATGCCCAGAACCGCAATCTTGCTTTCAATCTCCATGTCCCTCTGTCGTGGAGATTAAAGATTAAGCAGAGCGGCTGGGAGCCGACATGGCGAGTGGGCGTTTCAGGATTTATTGTTTTGCACCCATGTTTGCGGTGAGAAGGTTTAGCGCTGGTGTTGTCCCTTGGTCTGGTGTGGCTGGTGACGCGCCGTCGCAATGTCTGACATCGGACTTCTGCGCACAAGGAGCGGGCCGCCGCTCGACGCTCGAGGAAAAAAGTTGGTACAGTGGAGTCTAACCGGCCAACACCACACATCACGCATGCATGCACCAACCTCATCAAAGGTAGCATAGCCCACCATGAGCGACGCAATGTTTCATCATCATTGTTGTTCCATTATGCGCATTGCCACTCCTGCCTTCGTCTAGCTACTATCCGGCTTTTTGTTCGTTATTCATACACTTCGTAAACATGCCGTATCCAACATCCTAAATCAAGCGCCGAGATGCTCTTTCTCCCGTCGCGAAGCCATGCACATACTGCTAACGTCATGCTGCTGAGGAAAATGGAAAAGGAAATGTCGTCTGCTTGTTGCTGTGGGTATATGGGGTGTTGTCGAAGAATCATGGCTATTCATTGCTGATGCTGCGTTGAAAGACCAATACAGATGTGCCGAAGCGATGTTCGATGATCGATGCGATGTTTACGGGAATTCGTAGAGCTCTTCACCTCATACAAGAAAAAACCCGAACAGGTCAAGAGCATACGTCGACGTCAGGTCACCTATCTCGTAGGTTTTCAGGTTGATGTAGGCTGCAGGCCTGTTCGGTTTTTTTCTTGGTTGACGTGTCTTTATATACCGTCGTATCATACTGGGTAAGCTGATCGAAAGCTGTTGCATGAGGATGTACTCGGCGTATAGGTCTCTGCTGCTGTTGATGTCGGTGGTATGACTGCTCCGTATGATTCTGGGCTCAGTTTGCAATTTTGTTCTTCGGAACGGGAGGTATAGTAGTCTCCTCGGTGATCCTAGTATCCAGTCTGGGCCTCGAGCTCGGTCGTGAGACTAATCTCATTCGACTTGTTGCTTGCTTATCCGGGGCGACGACATTGCCTGCGTCTGAGAGCGCCGAAGAAGAAAGAGCTGGAGTCATGGGCCCCTCAGGATGAATGGCAAGTGGACTTGGATACGTATCGATCGTCTCATGACTTTGCTTGGGAGTCTTCATATGAGCTTCGCTCAAAGCCCTGTGGCGTCCGGGACTCATCGAATCGCTGTACCCGTGTCTGCTCCAGTTGGGGCGATGCAGGCGAGCCGCCTTGGGTAGACTTGAGTAAGATGCTTGCGACTGGAGAGTTGCACTCCTGTGCCGTTGGGCGGGCCGGTCTGTGGGAGTATCGTGACTTTGCTCAGGCAGTAAGAGTTCGGACGTCGCATGATCGCTGTCTATCTCTCGCATGAACTCGTCATCCTCGTCCTCAACCTTGGCTATCCGCTTCACATGTCGCACTTCAAAGTACGGTGTCTTCGGCAACTCCGGCATCGAGTTAATCGACACCGCACGTGGTCGCGGAGTGTCTTGCACTGCGAAATCGATATGCGAAAAGTACTTCTCACGCATCGGGTTCCAGCTCAACGGCGCCATTTGTTCGCGGTTCCGCAACATGGACAGGGAGCTTGAGACAGCGCCGATCAGGATCAAAACCATCACGGCCACCGTCAAGAGACCTTGAATGACGATTATGATGATGCCAATAACGGTTGTAGGGATACGAGCGACACCAAACCGTGTATCAAAGGCTGCCGAAAGACCCGTAGTAGTAATCTTGCTAAAGCCGAGAAGATACACGGCCAAAACGTTCAGCCGCTGTCCTTCGAAGGGTCGAAGAATGATGAAGGCGATGAAGGCAACAAGCTCAACGGCAAGTAGACCGAAGACCTGGACGAAGGGCTGGGTAGATGCACCGGCAAGGAAGCATGCTCGAACGAATTCGTAGAACAGCCAAACGACGAAGAACCACCAACGAGTTCTCCTATAGCGGGAAGCGAGCCAACCAAACCTTGTCGTGTACTGCTCGTCGTCATGAATTGATGTGGTATCCGCAGTGGCGTGTATTGTCCACCATGGAACTGAACCGATGTAGACCTCGTCTTCGGAGCGCGGAATTTTGCTATTTCTGGAAATACTAAACCACGGAATGATCTTGAGTAGTCGTCGTTTGGCTATGTTCAGCCGGTCGGGCTCAGAGGCATACTTCCCGATCCGAAGTCTGGAAAAACAAGCGTAGGCGGCGATACTGCCTATACCGAATACTACGGCGAAGAAGGCTGCACATGCGACCGCGACAGGACCTGAAAGAGCTAGGTAGGAGAACTGAAACATGGCTAGGAACGTCAACATATAAAATCCAATGAAGATTGTTCGCAAGACAGTCGATAGAGCGAAGGCAAGATAATGGGTTCGGAAAAAGGCCAGGCGGTGCTTCTTGACAATGCGTATGCTACTGAAGCCTTCGAGGACAACTTTCAGGGAGAGTACAGAGACAACACCGCATGCGATCAAGATCAAGAACCAGAGCAGTCCAGTCATGAAGGCGTTGCTTGCTGGGATGTGTTCCGTCGCAAGGGTACCAGCGAATCCAGAATAGTTGCCTGGAAGTGGCAGTCCAGGCTTTACAGGCAACCCGTAATATTTGAATCCGGTGCTCGCGTCGATGAGACGGCGCTTTGCTAGGGCAGCTTGGAGATTCAGACCCTGAGGAAGAACGCCTCGTTTGTATATCTGGTGAATGTCGACCCCTCCTCCTAGATGAGGATTACTTTCGCCCGTACCTGCGGCACCGACTTGCGATGTATTCCCTTTGTTCGAGCCGATGAAATCGTTGATCGTGTTCTGCATTGACTCGGAGTAGATCATACCCCCAGCCCAGGCATAGTTGCTCCAGAAGGCCACGAGGACGCTTGGCCAGTTCACCGAGAGCGCTCCGCTATAGAAGATGTGGTGCCATACCGCGAAAACCACAGACACTGACAGCGAATGGGCGTAATGCTTGCGCATCTCGACGATGTTGGATCCGTAGGCGGCTGTAGCAAAAGAGGAAACGACGGCTATGAGAGTAAAGAGCCCTAACGTTGAGCCCACTGAGCTCTTCTGCTGGAATGTGAAGCCGTTGGTGATCTGGGCCGCGAAACAGCCGATCTGTCAAGCTGTTAGCACGAATACGAATAGTAAGACGTCTCAGCACCGCGTTGGCAAAGCATCGCAAGGGAGCTACATACTAGTAATAAGTTAGCAAGATATCTTGAGAGCTATTCGTGGCGGCTACTTACCCTCGTTCTGTGTGGAGTTGGAGAACAGCCGCAGGATGGCCTGGCCTTCGAAGTCGGGAATGCTCAACGCAATCTCTGGGATCCCTGCGACGTCGTCTTGATTGATTGGTATGATGCCCGCCGCCTCGATCGGAACGCCGGCTTTGACGGGGCAAGCGCTGAGTATGTTGGCGTCGCAAGGGTTGAAGGTCAGGTCGAATCGACTCTCGCCGTACGCATAAACGCCGATATTCATCATAATGTCTTCTCTTCGGAGCCCAGTCTCGCCTTCCAGGTGAAAGATGATGGTCATGTTGTCTTTGTAGTAGGCTGCGTCGAACCGTGTAACGTTGATGGCGCTCTTGCCTAGGCAGTCGCCATAGTCGGCAGTGTAAAGAGATGGCTGTCTGTCGTCTCTGACTTGCCATTTGTCGCCATCGATGATTCCAACCACCCATGTACCATCTTCGTCTACGTTGACGGAGCCGACCGGAGTGGTGAGCAGCAGGCCGGCTGCCAACAGAGCTTGAGTGCACCCTCGTAGATACATGTCGCCTGGACGTGTGAGAGCGGATCTCGAGGTCTTGTTGTCGTTTGTGAACGTATTGTTCGGGGTGTCGGTGGAACGACCGGAGTCTGTGATTGACCGCGATACGGGGAACGAAGGTCGGGGAGAGCAAGGATAGTCGAATCAGGATGTCGGGGTGCAGACGTGTAGTGGTGCGACCAGACGCAGCATCGCAGAGACCTAGGCAACAGCAGCGAGAGAGAGAGGTGAAGAGTGCAAACAGGGTGGTGAGTGTGAGTTGAACCATGCAAGCATGGTCTGGCGGGTGCTGGCAGGTGCAATGAAGCAGGAGCCACTAGCGACCAGGCAAGCACGTTCCGATGTAGCAAGCGCGATCTTTTTGCATTCACAGATCGCCTAATCTGGCAATCACTTCCAGGACCTAACTGTGTACATGAATATACTCACACAGCCTCCAGTCATTTCATTGACATTGAAGTTCCGACCCAATTACATGGTCATCGCATAGGATGTAGGAGCAGCAGGTACACGCGCTAAGCATTTTGACCTGCGTTAGTGCCGGTCTAGCGCACTACTGTGGCAGCCGTGGTGAAGGTGCCCCCATATGCGAGTATATTCGGTACTAGAAGCATCTGTGAACGTGTCAACAAGATGTGAAACCGTGTCTGTATCCAGACCATTCCGAGGTCCAGAACAAGGTTGGAAGAGCCGAGCTCGTCATCGTGATCTGACTTGCGGTATAGTGCGGGCTGGGACCGAGTACATAATGGGAAAGATTGCCATATCCTTCACATACGACCATAGGACAATAAGAATTAGGCTTCCCGTCCGCTCAGCCATATACAAGCATTGTACCGGCGGATTAGTAGTTAGGTGGGTGACCACTAGCGAATCCCCGCTGTTGTATGTTTTTGTTCTTTTTGCCGTGATTCTGAAATGGAGTCGTCGAAAGAGCAGCTCTCTTTTTGCCTGTGCAAGCGAAGATGCATCTCTTTTTGCAACTTGGAACGATGCTTTCTCCCTTTGTCAGGCGTGCGAGCCTAGGTATCATGCCATCTCTTGTAACCTGTTCAGTCTTATCATTCCGCTATTGGGTATCTCAACTGCGTGTCAATCCTGAAGTATCCTATGAAGTCTCTCTTCCGTCTACCTGGGGCCTTCTCTTGTCTCATCGCTAGTATGCGGTCACCTCAATCCCTCAGACAACCGGGCTACTTCCATTGAACGTGCCCTTGGCCTTAACACAAAGGTCCCCACCAACACTCTCCAGCGTCGCAACAATCTCCTGCTTATGTCTCGACGCGTCGGTCTTCTTCGTCAGGTCCTTCTGTGGCGACAACCATCCCAGCCAGCTCTTTGTAGGTTCCGCTTCAGGTTCAGGCGGCGGCTCGGATTGAGGGAGGTCAGGTTTCGAGAAGGAGGCACGGAGGATGTAGAAGTCGAGGCTGTAGGTTGGTTTGGCGTACGTTAGGCTGAGAGTGTCTGGACGGTGGATTGGTTCTATCCGCGGTGTCAGTATGAGCGTACTCTTCGTGGGTACTTGAAGTATACGCACCCACAATGCCATCTGGCCCTCTGACCATCCTCGCCATGATCTCTTCAAAGATGGTTGCGATAGCCCCACCATGCGCAACACCCGGCCATCCACTCATTCCTCCTCCTATCCATACCACAGCCACCATCTCTCTTGTCTCTGCACTCCAGAACGCCCTTTGTACACCCAATCCCCGCGTGCCACTCATGACGCCCAATATGCCATTCTTGCCTTCATTCTCTCTCCCAAAGTCCAGATCCAGCTCGAGCCACCCTTTATACGCTGATATCTTCCGACTTGATCCAGGAGATGACGTTATTCCCGGTCCTGACCGGAGCGCTGTGTCGGTATGTAGGTTGTATGACTGAGAGCGCAAAGATTGCACGATTTCGAGGGCATCGATGTCGCGCCGCAGAGAGTCGAGGATGATCTCGTCTTCTCTTGAACCAGGCTCTGGGAGACCGAGAGGCGCGGCAAAGTGGCGAGCACCTAGGCCAGTCGTGATGCCGAGTGCGAGTATGCTGGCGTACCAGAAGTATGACCAGCGGATGCGGGATTGGAGGAGGAGGGGAACATCGCGATGCGCATGGTAGCTGGAGGAGCGGAAGGTTCGGCTGGCGGATTGGCAGGATTGTTTGAAAGGTGCGCGATTGAGAACGATGCGCGCTCGTGACATGCTGACCGCCGGCTGCAGGTAACAATTGCTGAGAGATCTGGGAGGCTTCGATGATGGAGATATCGCGATATGGTGGCAGGGATCACTTCACCGAGGCTGAAGGTTAGTGGCTTGGCATTGGCGAACACCTGGACACTGGACTTCGCGTCCTGCCTCATCAACACCATCACCAAGTGCGCGTCGTCTTCGGGCTATGAACGCGACGATGCCTGCACCGCAAGCACGCTCCATATTTTCACTATTGAGGCCTTCACGCGTCTTGTCATGGTGCAAAAAACCTTTGCCTCAATGATGCATTCTCCTCGTAACTCAGTCTCTGCTACCTCTCTCCAAAATATCAGGAGCTCCGCAACATGTTTCTTTGCTTTATGCATATGCTCAAAGAACACGGTGTGAGCGCGGGCGTTTGCTCACCGTCCGTTTGCTAGCTCGGTGCATATCAAACTACACAACCTTCACCTTTTGCAACCTCCCTCTCTCACTCTTACACTTCACTCCAGCTTCACTTCCCATCACGCGATATCACCACCTATCTAAATCAACCAGGGTGTATCTATACCGATCAATATGCCATCAGAAAACACCCTCAAGTTCGCCGCTATTGCGGCTTCACTCATCATCATTCACACCGCCATCATCAAGGTACACGATCTGACTTCTAAAGCTCTCGACAACGCGCATCCGCGAGGTAAGTGATATGTGCACAATATGTATGAAGGTATGCTAAAGTAAGTAGATGTCACCACAGATATGGTGACCCCTCGAGTTCAGGGCCGCAGCCGTGATAACGGCGGTCAGATGCACGTATGTCAAGGACTGAATGCTGCCGGAGGCTCAGTGTCAGTGACATTCCCGACGTTCATCAAACCACAGGTATGCACAGATATGTTTAGATACACGCAGATATACTAACATGCAAAAGTGAAACACTTTCATTATCCAAGTATGTGGTGCACTATCACACAGGCAGAAGGAAGGCAGGGTGTACATGGGAGGGGGGGAACCCAGATAGCAAACAAGATACCCAGACTCAAAGCACAATACATCACTCTTTGGTATATTGTGGTATTTGGTAAAGCTATATGCACTTCGATCAGAGCACATCGCGAATAGCTGCGCTTCGCGCAGAAAATCTTGCGCGCCCAAGAGCATGCATGTCTTCGTTTATCCCGCGGCGTAGATTCTGATACCGCACATCCTCCCATGTGTTAAACCTCATGGATTCCGATCCTCAACATGGACAATGTCCAACTCCTCCGCCTTAACACCATGGAACATGCGAACCTGCTCTGGTTAGCCTCGAACCCTCCGCGTTGACACCCTCATGGGACGGACACCACATACATTCATCCCTAGCAGATCTGGCGGCGCATCTCCAAACTCGCACATCCTAGGATCAAGCCAGACTGCACTCCCACACCTACTACAGAACCTATGCAGAACCCTCTTGACACCAAAGGAATAGTCTCTCAACATGTCCTCACCGCTCTTTACTTGTAGCTGCGACCGTTCGGGGTACACGAGCAAGTAGCCGTTACGCGTGCAGATGCTGCAGTTGCACGATACAACCTTCCACTGTGCCAGCGGCGGCGAGAGCAAGACCGAGTACTGTACGCTACCGCAGTGGCAACTCGCTGCGTACGTCTGACAATTCTGCGGGTCGAACGCTGGAAGAGAAGGTTTGGTAGGTGAAGATTCGCTCATGGTTGATGGTGTTGGTTGTGCAAAAGGTGGGGTTGGAGTGTAGCTGTTAAGTAGGGTAAGTTGATCCTCAGAGTGAAGCGCAATGCTACATATACTTTGTTTGATATAGGTACGAGAAGGAGACCGGCGCGGATTTTCATCGTTGCTAGACGGGAGCTATCGGTGGGCGAAGAGGTAGGTTAGATGGGAAGAAGTCTCCGAATCCGCTTTCCGGCGAGTATATGTCTCCGATGCCGTTGGTGTCGTTAAACATACGGAAGGATGCTACCGACAATAGCTCAATGCGGTGGTACGAACGACCGTTATACTGCGTCAGCGTCTAACACCTTTCGCTGATTCACAGCACCAGGAGTTCTATAGGGGCCTCACATGGCCTACCAAAGATACCGCGTAGTAGTGTAAGCTGTTGGCTAGTCATTAACACTCTCAAGTCAAGCTTTCCTGCTATACTACGACTACCAGCATATACCAATAGCATTCTGAATGCTTCAATCACATCGCGAGCATCAACGAAACATCACAGCTCCTCAGTTCATGGAACCATGACTGCAAGAAACGACTACCATTTCACCTAACGAATTTACAGTTACATCGTCATGAACCCTTTACAAGCTCCATCGCTCCTCGGAGTGGCTCAGCCATCCCCCGAAATCTCGTCCTACCATGCAATATATCTCGCACCACCCTCCCACAAAAAGCAAAAAGTAATACGACGAAACACATTGCACCACCCACCCACATACACATACACAAAAGACGCATGTTTCACCGCTTCCGGCATATACGCCAGCTCAGGCGCCTCCCATTCTAGTGCCTCCCACAGTTCCCAGCGATCCTGACCGATGGTAACACAAACGATCTCGTGCCACTTCACTCCGTATCGCCCATCAATTCTGATGTGGCGTCATGCATGAGTCCACGAAGGCGGCCACGGTTTCACGAGATATGAGCGTAACAGGTGCGAGGTTGTACGGTGGAGGCAGGTGGTGGAAGTGAGGCAACGGGTTTGTGTGAGGGATGGGCCGTGGACTCCGATTGGTGTCTTGGGTCGGAGATGATGTGTAGTGGGTGGCGGTTGAGTGAAGCGTTTAGATGCGATGTTTGGTATGAGATTCGGGGGTATGAATGCGGTAGGCTGTACGAGGAAGGTTGGGTTGGGAGGGGGGACCTGGTTTTTGGATTGGATGGGTGACATCGGAAGAGTGGAGGTGGGAGGAAGGGGGTCATCGACGGTATCGCGCGGTTGAGTTGGTGGTCTTGTCTTGAAGATGAGCAGTGTGGAAATATGAGTTACAG